GATTTATTTGACGACGCTGCAAGCGGGAACCACTCTTGCGGACTTGACTGTAGAGTGACGCCAGGGCTTGCGAGTTTTGAAATATAAAATGAAGGGTGGAGAGGGCGACTTTTTGATTTTTCTATTTAGGACAAGGGGGAAACAGTTTGCGAAAAAATGAACCAGGAGTTCACAACCTGTGCTGGTCCAGACAGCGCCTTAGCCGCTAAGGCGTTGCACCGGACAGACAGAGCTTGTGGGTTCAATTACCGCTCCTGGGCATTCCCCCATCTCCCGACCCAGTGACCTTGCCCGCAAGGGCTCTTCTGAGTCTTCTCACCCCCACTCGTGGCACGGCGATGTAGTAATCTCCTCTACACGGCGGTACGAAAGGAGAGGACGCTAACAGCACTCACATGATGTGGCCGGGTAGGAAGCCGCGGCCCCGCGCGTTCGGGGCTTACGAAGAATGAGAGAAAGACATGTTGCCTGCTGGGTGTCCCGTAGTTCTCTGACGTCGCTGACGGACGGCGGCTCTTTTATTAACATATGTCACGTGACATCATAGATGCATAAACACACATAACAACAAGATAAGACAACCGATAAACTCACCATCAAAGCATACTAAACAGAACACACGTTGCGCCATCTGGTGGCAAAATCACTTATCACAGATCACTACACACTTCCCTCCTTAAAATTTTTAAAAAGAAACGGAGGGAAAGAAAGCACAAAACACAATTCGAATTTCACCACAATAAAGACAACGCTCTCCCCTTGTCTGTTAAAAAAATTGTAACATATGGAACCGGGTATCGGCTCACAGCGGCGTTCCAGGCAATGAGACGGCAGATCGTCTGGTCGACGCTGAGCAGTACCGTAGCTCTTTTCATCCATGTCACCACAGTATGACAGAAACCATAGACAGCTTCTACATCAGATACAAACACAGTCTCCGATTCCCTATAGCCTACCTCGAGTTGCTACAGATTTGGACTGAAGTTTGTTTGCCTTTCTTTTCCTGTTTTGATGTCCATGACACAGGTGTAGTGTATGTTAGTAATTGTTAGTGGTTAGGTGTTGTCAAAAGTTGGTGTTTGTCATGGACATCTTTTTACCTTGGCCAAGGATACCTAAAGCATTTTCATTATTACATGCTATGACATAGTGCTACGTAAGGATGCAAAACAAAGACTCATTGAAGACATTTGGAGGAATATAAGAAACACATGGAAAGACATCTCCAAAACAAGCTCTTGGACCTGAAGACTACACTCCACACGGGAACTCCAAACAGTCTCCAAAACAACAACTATGCGTTAAACAATGTCGATAAATGAATTCTGTTCACTTTCCATATTTGAGTCATCTGAAGAAATGAAAGACATGACATAGTCTTTCAACTTTGCTGCGAGACGTTTCTTTCGTTGTGGTCGTAGGGGAGTACTAGTAGCCAATGGGGTTGCCAAAGTCACTGACGGCTGGGATACGAAAAAAAAATCACGGCTTGAAGGGTCGCACTGCACAACCACTGGGTCACAGGGTACCTCCACCTGCTGGGGAGCCCCACTTGGTTCGCCAGGACTTGGTTCCTCTGGGGAAGCAGGCTGCACGGAATCCCCGAGCGCAGCCGGAGGCTCGGTGTCGGGCCACCAGGAACATCCAGGTTGCCCAGGCGTCGGCCCAGACTCGCCAGCCAGTGAAGATTGAGGAGGCCCAGGGTCAAAAGCACCGGGGACGAGCAGTGGCCCCGGATCAGGAACTGTATGACTTTCAGGTATACTGTGTGGAATACTATCATTTTGATCTATATATGGTGCGAGGACATTTGGAAGTGGAAGTGAAGGAATACTATTGGAGAGTTCACGAAAATCTTCCTCGTGCGAGTAGATGTCGGAATCTCCCTCACGAGGCCGTGCAGACGCCTTCGTCCATTTACTGGCATCCCAGGTCCTTCCATCATCGAGCCTGTACGTGGCGGATCCCAGCTGGGGTTCAACCATTTTCGACTGTGTATACCTTGATTGAAGTTTGCCGCGATGTGTGGGCTTGAACACGCGCACGGCTTGACCGGCGGAGAACTGTGGCCGTTTGGCAGCCTTCCGGTGATCCCAATATGACTTCATGTTTTGTTGATAACTTTGAACCCTCTCGGGAAGAAGAGCACGTTGTTGTAAAACGAAATCAGGAACCTGCCTTGTAGGCATCTTTTGGAGGTTTAGTTTAGACCGGTGGATCCGGCCATGCAATAAAAGTGAAGGGGCAAACCCCGTCGCAGGATGTACCGTACGGCGGTACGCTTCGAGATGGTCTCGAACAGCGTCTATAAGAGGACGGCCTTGAACTATAGCTGCCTGAAGGCACGTCTTGAGAACACGGTTAAATCTCTCCACCTGACCGTTACATTGTGGATCATACAAGGACGTTTTCAAATGTTTTATGCCATTTTCACGAAGGAAGTCTTGAAAGTCTTTGGACATAAACTGTACCCCGTTGTCTGTAACAAGCTCACAGGGAAGTCCTTCATGAGCAAACACATTTCTCAAAAAGGAAATGACAGTTGAAGACGTTACTGCTGCGGCAGACTGCACCTCAGGCCACTTCGAATGATAATCTATCAAGACAATGAAAAACCATTGACTCTGTGGCGCCCTGTCGATAGGGCCTACGATATCGACAGCAAGTTTTCCCAAGGCTGGTCGGGGAACTTTATGGGCTGCAACGAAGCGGGTGCGGCCTTTACAGGTTTATCAGTTGAATGACACACCGCACAATTTTCCACTTTTGTTTTGATCTCCTGGTTCATGCGGGGCCACCAATAGTGTTCACGTATGAGGCTTGTTGTTCGTGACATTCCTTGGTGTGTCTCGTGTGCAAGATGGATGATGTTGTCACGGAGTGTTGATGGCGGCACGAGCCTTTCTCCACGATACACGATACCTTCATACAGTGAAAGTTGCTCACGCACTTGAAAGAACGGTCGCAAGTCGGTGTGGATGTCATTACCCTTCGCCCAGGACGTGGTAGTGTACCGGATTACAGATGGAAGGATAGTGTCATTAGCCGTAGCCTGTTGAAATGCGAGTTTGGATATGGGGACTGTGATAAGAGAAACGACCTCCTCGGTAAATTCCATACCATTCTCCGTGTCGTTAACGGGTAGCCGTGAAAAAGCATCGGCAACCAGGTTCGCAGATCCCTTCTGATATTCAATAGTGAAATTATAATTAAGCTGTCTGGCTGTCCACCGGGTGATCCTCAAAGGGCGGATCCCAGACCCCTTGCTAGAAAGCAGGGCGACTAGAGCTTGGTGGTCTGTTCGTATCACAAAGGACCGACCCCACAGATACACATGCCACCTCTCACAGGCCCACAAACAGGCCAGCGCCTCCTTTTCACCTGTTGAATACCTCCGCTCGGCATCAGTCAACGAGCGCGAAGCGAAAGCGACAGGACGCAGTTGACTTCGCTACTGTTGTTGTAACACAGCCCCAAGACCATAGTTAGATGCATCCGTAGCCAAAACGATAGGAAGTGTTGGATCAAACATCGACAAAATCAGAGCACTTTTTATGGAAGCCTTTACATTTTGGAAACTGGCCTCGGCTTCCGGGGACCAGTGAAAGCGAACTCCTTTACGGAGAAGACGACGCATGGGCTCTACGACAGTTGGGCAATGAGGGATAAATTTACTATAATATTCAACAAGTCCCAGAAATGCTTTCAGCTTTGCTGGTTCGGTAGGGGTTTCAAAATTCAGGACTGCATCTACCTTAGCGGAAAGGGGTGCTAGTCCTTCCGCGGAAAGATGGTGTCCCAGAAACGAAAGTTCTGTAACTCGAAAAACACCTTTACGATTTAGCTTCATCCCGGCTCGGGAGATACAAGAGAGGACCTGACGCAGATTCTCGTCGTGTTCTGCCTGCGTAGCACCGTAGACTATTATATCATCAAGGTAAAACTGGACTCCTTTGCAATCCTTCAGGATTTTTGACATGATGTTTTGAAACGCTGCAGGTGCCGAAGCCAACCCGAAACAAACGCGCTTGAATCTGAACAGTCCCTCATGCGTGATAAAAGCAGTGAGATCACGACTCACCGGGTCGAGACGAACTTGGTGGTAAGCGGACGCCAGGTCCAGCTTGGAGAAGCAACTGGCACCACGCAAGGAACCCAGTAGTTCATCGATATGGGGTAGCGGGAAAGAATCGATGTCTACCGCTTGATTTGGCGCACAGAGGTCAACACACATCCGGATACGTCCGTCAGTCCGCCGAACGACGACGATAGGTGAAACCCACTCGGAGGCATCCACTCTCTCGATCACACCTTCTCTCTCCAGTCTGAAAATCTCTTCCGAGACAGCATCCCTCAGGGTCGTCGCAAGACGGCGCAGCTTGGACTGTACCGGTGGCACGTTGCAACGCTGCTTGATAGTATGGGTGGAATTCTTGACCAAACCTAAACCTGGACTAAAGAGATGTTCAAATTCTTCGAAGCCTTTGGGCAACTTGGACTGATCTGGAAGGAAAGGACTTGAAACTTAAGATGCATTTGTATTTTCATGGTGTAGCAGTTGTGCTGTGATTTCATTACTTGTATTCTCAGGACTTGTGTTTTCAGGAAGGTGTGGTTGATGGAGCCCAAGGCTCTCAGGATGGCGTCGCGGAATCGCGGCTGTCGACGAATCGGGGTCAAAGTCCGCGGGAACTTTCGGAGTGGTCTCTTCCGAGACCGATGACGATGTAGACACGTTGGCACCCGAAGGTACAAAAGAAGATGACCGGGACCTTGCATCTCTGGATCCGGCCGGTTGGCGGTTTTTGCAGGAAGTGATGGTAAACGGCCGTCGCTGCAGGGGGACCGCCGACTTCACATACTGCCGTGGAACTCCTCCTCCCTGAGCTTGATGTCGGCCATGAAGGCATCCCGACGATAAACACCTCTTGCTGCTTGCTCGGCCGACTCAACGGGGTCGCTCGGCAGCATCTCCGGCACCAGGCATGGCCCAACAATGTTCACAGGATCGTTACCTCCTGACGGCACATTCCGTGAAAACGGTCAGGCAGCGAAGTAACGGCCGGAGCCCTGGCCACGGCTCGGGAACGACGTTCGCCGCGGGTCACTGACGTAGGCCGCCGACGGTGGGCGGCGACTCCGACAAACCACCGCAAAGTGGCCCGTCTTTCCACACAAAAAACATGCCACACCAGACGCTGGACACTCGTTGCGGTTGTGGCCGCGTCGACCACAGAAGTTGCAGGGAACACCGACTCCTTCATCTCCGTGATTGAAGGAGGAGGGTAGCGCAGACGCTGGGGTGGGTGGTGTTGTAAAGTCCGGGGCACTTGACTGGAAGTGACGCCGGACCGGCCATCTTGCCACCAACTTCGGGAAGGAGCCGGCCATGGACCTCCATCTTGGACGTCCGGCGTTCCAATGGGCACGTGCGCAAAGACGCGCTCAACGGCTGCCGGCGCCGCACCGCTAGCACTGGGAGCTCGCAGGTGGAAGCTTTCTGTGGTGCGCGCAAGTTGCTCGTACTGCAGCGCGAGCTGAACGACACGGGTTAAAGTGGGTACCCCCGTCCCCACACACTCTCGAAGGATGCGGTCTTGGACCCGCTTTGAGTCCAACCCCTCCAAAAAGACCTCAGCAAGCCTCTCTTCCAAAGCGTCTCCATAAGAACAAAAAGACCCTTGGCGTCGCAAAGCGGTCAAGTACTCCGAGACGGTTTCTCCCGGGCGTTGGACGCGAGCGCGAAGCTTTTGGCGTTCCAGCGCGATACACCCAGAAAACTCAAAGTGCTTCTCGATAGCACTCAAAAAGACTTCAAAAACATCGCCTTCCTCGGAAACGGGAGTCTCATCGAGCTGAAAAGTGTCAACAGTTCTCTGGCCCTCAGCCCCAAGCATGGAAAACAAGATCGCCTTTTTTCGACTAGGCGCAACACTGTCCAAGCCGGACGCCTCAAGGAACATCAAGAAAGCACGTTTCCACGCGGGCCATGCACGCTCGGGCTTGCCCGGAACTGGCAAGAAGTCGGGCGGTGATGGAACCGGCGCGAGCGCTGACGTGCCGGCAGCTACAGGAGGCTGTGTTCCATTATCCATTATATATATGTTGTAGAAGGTTGTAGGAAACGATGCAAAAACAGTGCAAACTCACATCTTACGTTGTCACGAGACGCATGCTGAAGGGAAGCAGCTGTCAGGGCCCATTCTGACTAGCCATGGAACGTGTTCCAAGTGAAACGAAATGGATCGAAGAAGAAAAAAAAATCGCGTCGGCTCTCACCGCCAGTGCACCGAGACGCGGAGAGAACTACGGTTAACCACCTCGTCGTCAAAATTTGTAGTAATCTCCTCTACACGGCGGTACGAAAGGAGAGGACGCTAACAGCACTCACATGATGTGGCCGGGTAGGAAGCCGCGGCCCCGCGCGTTCGGGGCTTACGAAGAATGAGACAAAGACATGTTGCCTGCTGGGTGTCCCGTAGTTCTCTGACGTCGCTGACGGACGGCGGCTCTTTTATTAACATATGTCACGTGACATCATAGATGCATAAACACAGATAACAACAAGATAAGAGAACCCGATAAACTCACCATCAAAGCATACTAAACAGAACACACGTTGCGCCATCTGGTGGCAAAATCACTTATCACAGATCACTACAGGCGACTTGCTCTGCGCTATGCCATGCTCTGCGGTTAGCGGGGTTCGTGACACAGAGCACAAAGACCGATGCCGCCTTCCGAAAAGTCGTCTAAGCTAGATGAGACATCCGGGGAGCCCCTAATTGGAAAGTACCAAGGCTGGCGGGGTCTAAAAGCTATTACCTCTCGAAGGGGATCTTTCCCGCCGTCCTTACACAGGGGAAGAGAGGAGATCTCCATGATAGTGTATGCAGGCCGCAGGCCCCGGCTTTTACTTTTTCTCCCCATGGTATTCGCGGCTCCAGCGACCTATAGGGGGCGCCACCACCAAACAAACATGGCGGCTGAGTCCAGGTCGCGTCGGCTCGGCCGGGCCGCCTGAACAGGTGGCGCGTTCAATTTAACAGATTTTCTTTTGTTTAATGCCCAATTTTATAGGTATTTGAACTGAGACGGTTAAGTGTAGCCCGTGAACATAAACTTGAAAAGCATGGTTTTGTTTTCCCGGTGTTTTTTGTTATTTTCATGTCAAACTTTCGTTTCGGAGATTTCGTCCAAAACCGAAACTATGGGCTCCGGAGAGACGGTAATACACTAATCAGTTTTGATCATATAAGGAAAGAGGCAATGACTACAGAATTCTTCCACAGAGAGTAATATCCAGCTAACTCGCATGCCTCGACCATGCGACTTCTCTGTCCGCGAAATCGAGCTTTTGTGCGTATCCGCGTTTAATAAACAGCTTCAGTCGTCTGCTCGGTCAACAACACAGGCGGCTCGAAAATTACGAACATTAAGCAAGCGTTTCTTGAGCCAAGGAGGTTGTTAACCCGCCGGCACCCCACTAAGCAGCTGATACTCGTATTTCAATTCAGGTTTTAGTAGCAATCGAGAAGTCATTTTGACGAGTGGGTTATGTATTATATTACGTACCATGTCCCACTAAAGCGATTTTAGTATATTCTTCGGGTTGAAATATGAGCTTAGTTGACTAGATATTAGGTGAACAGCCGAATAAAAGTCTATTTGACAGACAGAGAGACACTACTTAAACTTAGCCAAATGGTTCTAGCCGGCAGGACGGAGACAAACTGAAGAGAGTCTTCATTGGAGTTCACGCAGAACCTCTCTGCATTGAACTTTGCTTCGAATCCTGAACGGAGAAAATAAGTATTTTTTTTTATTTTATTTTTGTGGCCGGTCAACCTGAGCAATGTAGACATATAATGCTGCTGGATATAATATAAATATTGGAGGCGGTATAATCGGGGGTATAATATAAATATTGGAGGCGCGATAGATCAAAATGCCGTGACAGCTTCTAACGTTGCGAGAAGCGTCCCCCCCCTTTTGAAAGCATATAATTTCCCTCATTTATCATTTGCAGCGAGCAGGTTTTCCTGAAGCAAGTAATTGCGAAATGAGCCCAACTCCTTCAGAGTGGTCCAGAGGCGTTTTCGGCGAAAAGCAGCCAAGATGAATAGCCAACGCACCGACCGGCGTGGGTGGCTCAAACTTGAAGCTAATCGAACACAACCAAACTCAAGAAAAGCAGCTATCGAACCTTCCCATGCACTTAACTGAAACATTGATGTTCCCTCCAGTGAAATGCCTCGTCTGTCGTCCTCAGTCCACTGTTCCACATCCGTATAAAGAAACCCTTATCAGTTATCAAGTAGTCGTCACTTTGAATGTGATTCGAGACAGACAAGAAAGCAAAACGTTTTTCCGTGATTTCTCCCCATCCAAAAAATCGAAAGCACGAGACCGTGTGTTGTAGTGTAAACGGACTTTCAAACACGTGATGGAAGGAAACAATCTACTGAGGCTTCACCACACTAATGAACACTCAGGCGAACTTGAGAAATTTTCGGACCTTCGTGAAATTGCACTGCTCGCCACCGCGCCGACAGCACGTGTCCGCGAAAGTCAGCTGAGACGCGGAGGGGCGCGGAGCGACCTGGACCGGCTGGTTCCCGGTTTTCCCGCTTGGTGGCGTCCGTTTTGCTGGAGTCACGAATTGGAGTTGCCGCGTCGTTCGCGGTTTCCTGACACTTTGCTTTACTTCGCAATTTTTTTTTGGAATTTCACGGACGAAGGCTGTGCCGCAATCCGGTGGCTGACCCGCACTTTGGCGCAGTCCGGCACGACGAGGCTCGCAGAGGCGTGGGAGCACCTGAGGTCGGTTGCTTGCGATGGATTCTGTCTCGACGTGGCCGCGGTGCGCCAGAGGCGGTGGTTGTTAGCTTCAGACGCTGTCGCGTCACGGACGGTCGACGCACTGGGGTATTCCGGCAGAGGAAGACCGCATGCAGAGTAGCATCACAGGAGCAGGTGACGTTCCGTGTCCAGACGGGTCTTCCCCTTTACCGCGGTGCCCGAGGGTACGCCCGGAGCCGATAGGAACAGCGGGTTGCGCTCTCGAACCTCCAAAGTCGATTGCCGCGCGGTTTCCCAGTTTCAAGCGAACGGCGCTCTTCGCTAATAAAGTAAACAAAACACACCAGCTCCTCTAAAATGGCGAAACACACACACACACACAAAAAATGATCGTCACTGCGGCGAAGACACTCGTTGCCCCCAGCTCCAAACATAGTCAACACCAAAAACGCTCAACTGGGGCATCTGGAAAACTCATTTCCGGATTCTAAGAAGTGGTAGCGAACAAGCGTCGAGCAAAAGCGTCCTCCGAATGGGAGTCGCAGAGGCCATAAAAAAGGCAAGTTAGGGTCCCAGTCGGGACCGGCGAGGTGCTAACTAGTGCCAACCAGGGAGTGTCACACCAGCCGCGGCGAGTCGCGACCATATGGCCCCGCAGGCAGTCGACGCGGCGCCCTTTACAATACGCGTGTCCCGGCGGGACCTGGCCGGTTTTTGTGACAGAAAAACACGCCGGAAAAAGAAGAGTCAATCGCCACACGTCGACGATACCATACGCGAAATCCCACATGTGAAATAAGAAAACAATGCGAAAGATCCCCGCTTTTTTCAGTGTGTCAAAATGGTGAAAAAGGAGGCAGGAGAACCGACTGATACGGGCTGGAAGCGGTCTCCGGCTCTCGAGTGCCCCCCCCCCCCCCCCCCTTCCGGAATATGGGGGGAATAGGGTTCTGACTCCCCAAACTCCCCCCCCCCCCCCTCCCTACGCCACTGAGATCGACGGTCACGTTGGCCACAAAATCGTTTAAACTTTTGATGACTAGGCTTCACAACTATTGCAAGGTACCCCCTCCTACTATTTAGACTCCCTGACGTTAGCCATAAATCGCTGCCTGTTGCAGTCGTGGAACGGATTTGTCCCGGCTAGTTCTCGCAGCAGCAAGATGTAACCCACCCCTCAGAACCAGGATAGCGAAGCACACAGACCGGACTGGCGCGGCGTGGCGGTCATCTTCAATTGCGTCCCTCGCTGGCTTTCCCAGCCCTTATCCCGCCAAGACTCGTCTCACGAGACCCACGCTAGCACGCCGCGCTACGCACCTCGCTATTTTGGTCCGATAGCGCGCCTCTGCTAGCCTCCGCAGCTCCGCAGTGTTTCCGCTAGCAGCGCGCATTCGCAGTAGCGTCGTCGCTCTAGCGCGTAGCGTAGCGGGAGAGCCAAAACTATTTACTAAAACGCAATATCTTCGTCGCTGAAGATTTTCTTTTCCCGTCGGGACGGCAAAAACGGTCTTCTTTCGCAATGCTTTTTGTGCAATCCTTAGCACTGCATAATGGCATCGCGTTGTCGTCGAGGTCCTGGTAAAAAAGAAAGGAAAAAAAAGAAAACGGCCGGACCGTAAGCAAAGGAGCCACCGCTACGCCTCGCCCAGTGATGGCGTTGGTGTCTAGCAGACCAGCGAATCGCGCGGGGTCATAAGAACGCAACGGTTACGTGTCGCGCCCGATCCAATTGAAGCGAGGGAAAAAAGAAATTTTGAGAGGGAAAGGGCACGGACTAGGAGAAACTTCTCTTCCCCATTTCAGACAATGGTTTGCGTTACCTTTCAGTCTCGGTGGACTCTAGCTTCCCAGGTTTCAAGAGCGAGTTTCCCAACCCAGAAGGCAACGCGCTGCCTTTCCTCGCCTCCATCTTTTCTTCGGCTACATCATGACACAAGAGAGCAAGGAATCTCCATCCGTCCGTTGTTTCCGACAGCGTGTCCCATAATGCCTCTCCGCGCCTGTCTGCTCCCGCAGGCGGTCGTTGATACACCTGCCAGTCCGGCCTATGCTTTCTCCACCGCAGGGGAACGGGATAGAGTAGACCCTGTCTCGTTTACAGGGGACGAACTGATGCCCGCGCATCTTAGAGCAGGTCTTACTTAGGGGAGTGCAATTAGCCATTTTGTTAACTGAGTTTGAATTTGCAGCGGAACGCCAACCCTACTTCGAATCTAGACGCGAGCGCTTTTACCCGATGCGCTATGTTGTGTATTTAAGCAATGACGGCCACTTTTCCCTTCCCTTGCCTGGGTGCCGGTTTTGAAGTAGGAGGGGCGAAACTTATCCTCTTGAGCGAGTTGTCCAGCAAGTCGTCGGGAAAGCCAGCCTTCCTCAAACTCCACGTCTGCAGCCGGACAATATTCTGCGCATAACGGGGGCAAAATCTAGAACGCGCTGACGTCACAAGGGACCTTACAA